TCCTGCAGATGTTGAACCTCTTTGTGGCTGTGATCATGGACAATTTTGAGTACCTTACATGGGACACTTCCATCCTAGGGCGTCACCACCTGGACGAGTTCATCCGGGTCTGGGCTGAGTATGACCCGGCGGCGTGGTGAGTGGCCCCCGTGCTCCATGGTCCTCAGAGTGGACCATGCCACGGATCTCGGGACAGGGCTGGGTGGCTTCAGACCTGTGTCATGTGACACAGGTTTTGTCCAATCCCCACAGTTTTTGGCGGGGTCCGCACAGGGTGGTGCCAGGTCCCCTTCTAGGTGGCACACTCCTTCTCATGCCCACAGTGCTCTTACACAGCTCCCTGGGCTGAGAAATGCTCTGTGAGACCCTTAGTCCAGCGCTTAGGAGGTTCCAAGGGGTCTGTGAGGCTCAGGTCTCTTGCCAAATGGGAGTGTACTGTCTCCTCACAGGTCTGTCACATGAGGGGCGTGGAGGGCTCAAGGGAGAGGGTGTGGACACAGCAGGAGGGCCTTCCCTTGGGGCCTCACCATCCTCATGAAGCTTGGAGGCCTTCATGGCAGAAATGACATTCTTCCCGCCGATGGGCTCAGGCCTCTCCCTCTCTGCCTCTCTTGGGAACAGGAGCCAACATGCACCTCTGTGTCCCCAGCCCCGGCTGCAAATAGCGGGTGCTTGGTGAACTTTCACTGAAATTAAAGGAGCTACCAGGAAGGGTCTAGTATGTTGAAGACCCTTTGGTCATGGTGGGAAAGGGTTACTGTGTTGCATTAAGTGAGGGGTAGTTTGTTTCCAGACAGAGCAAGTATGTCATGAGGGGACTGGCTTGGGTTAGAAGGGTGTTCCGTGATCCATGGGAGAGTCCTGCACACCCAGGACACATACTCTTATCCTCGGGGCTAGCAAAGCAGCATGGACTCACCATCTGCCCATTTGTCTGTCCCTTCATCACTCGCTTCTTCATTTGCTTATTCATTCATTCACTCTCTCAAGCTGATACTTGAGTAGTTATCAAGGCCAACACAGGACATGGAGGGGCCAAGAGACCTGGCTGCTGGGGAAGGCACAGGCCTGCTCATCGCCTCGCTCATGGTGAGCGATCAGCAGACATGAATATGAATGAACGGTGCATCAGTAAATGGATGGGCATCCGTCCCTTCCCACGCTCGAAGGGAATGAGAAGACTGTGAAGATGGGGTGTAGCCACTTCCCACCTCCTCTCTCCGAGGCTCCCAGCCTGCCCGTGTCCCCCTCGCACAGCTCTGTGTTTGGTCACCCCTTGCGTGGTAGAGGCCTGGAGGAGATGGTCAGTGTCGTCGTGGGGAGGACCCTACTGCCCACAGTTTTTCCCTAAATTGGAGCTCAGCAAGGGGATTGCTCCAGAGCTCTCTGACCCTCAAGCCCCTGGGAGCTTGGCTGGGCTCCCCCACCCTCCTCTCATCCAGCCTTCCTGGAGCCCCTACCCCATCATGTGAGGATCCAGAAGATGCTGTATGAGACCCTTCCCAGGCTGGGCAAGTCCTGAAACGACTGGTAGCACCAGCAACCCTAGGGCATTTCCATTCCTGTAGTGTCTCTGCGTGTTTTCCATTGTAGTGAAAATGGAATAATTTTCACGCAGTGCAGAACAAGCATGGCTTTTATTTATGTTTTATGGTGTAGGTGACCGTTTTTGTGGCCTCAGAGAGTCTTGTCATTTTGCTGATGCGTCAGCACATCGGCCCTGCAGTGCCCAGTCTCATTCTGGCTCAGGGGTAGGTGTGGATTCTCTGGTCAGGAGGGCCCAGTCAGGTCAGAGAGCAGGAGAGACTCCAAGTGAGGCAGGCTTGAGGCTCATTCTAGGAGGGTCATCTGCACTGTGGTCTCAAGAGATGCTGCTGTTTCTGGGCACATTTTTTCCAGTATATGTGCTGCTAAAGGGAGCGCTGGGGACGTTGTTTCTAAAGGCTGTGTTGCAGGGAAGCAGAGATGCTGTATGGGCAGTATGTCCATATGTGCAGGACGAAGGCAAATCAGTGCAGGCCTGTGAGAGGGGAGGACTTCCCCCAAATCTTTATAACTGTAGACCGAGGGCTTCCCCTAGTCCAGCCACAGGTGGAGCAGAATTTGGACATACAGGAAATGGACTTGGGCCAGACTATGGTTTCGTGATGGTGCACAGGGGGCTCAGACTCTTTCCCAAAACCAGAGTTCTGAAAATGGGGCCTCTGGAAGGCAGGGGCCATTGGGAGTGGGGTAAAGGAAGTGCTGTGGAAGAGTAGATAGCAATTATAAGCGTCACCCCAGAGGTGGCATCTGTGAAATAGCACACAAGACCGTGGTCCAAAAGTAGCAAAAATGTGACCCGCAACTAACACTCAGACTTGCTGCTCCAACATATGGCCTGGGCTGAAAACATAGCCTGCCTCCAGATGGCAGGGGATAGGGGAAAGCCCAGCAGAGGCAGCTGAGGAGACTGAGTCCTGGGCACAGGACCGAGGGTGCTTTGAGCCCTTCCTAGCCTCCATGGCAGATGTAGGGATGTGGTCCGCTTTATATCCCAGGTGGCCACTCTGCTGTCTGCTCGTTCTTGGAGAGACTTAAAGAACAACAAAACTTTGTGAAATTTCCCAAGCTTTCCTATGTGTGTATGGCTCTCTGGGTGTGTGCACAAGTGTACACAAGTGTGTGTGTTGCATATGTGCACGGGTGTGTTTGTGTGCACATGTGGCATGCATACATGCATGTGTGCAGCAGACATACACATGTGCATGTGCACACATGCACATGGTTTGTGTGTTTGCGTATTAGCGTGCACACGTGATAGTGTGCAAATGTGTGAGTGCAGTTCATGTGTGCACGTGTGTGTGCATGGGTGTACACGCACATGGTTTGTACACGTACGAGCGTGCACACGTGATTGCAAATGTGAGTGCCGTGCATGTGTGCACGTGTGTGTGAATGTGCAGCAGACATACATGTGTACATGTGCGTACACACACATGGTTTGTGTGTATGCGTACGCACATGCACACGTGATTGTGTGCAGATGTGTGAGTGCAGTGCATGTGTGCACGTGTTTGTGAATGCACGTGTGCATGTGTGTACACGGGCATGTATGCTTGTGTGTGCACATGTGTGTGAACGCAGGTGTGCATGGGTATGTATGTGCACATGTGCGTGCAAACATGCCTGCTGTGGGGAGATGAAGAAGGCGTGGGGTTGTTGCTTTCTGGTGCTGCCTTCTCGCATCTTCCCTGTTGCCTCATTTGGTGAAGCGTAGACAGTCGAGAGGAGAATCACAGTGACACCTGTAAGCGATCTGTCTACTCATCTTTGTGTTCATCCATCTCCCCAGTCAACATTCCTGAGCGTCAGCCATGTGCTGGGGACCAGGGGTGTGTAGGTGAAGCAAGCACGTGCTCTCGGGATGCCGAGTCCAACGGGACTGTGGGAGAACAGAGGAGCCATAGTGTGAGCCCGGGGTGTTTGAGGAGGGAGAAACCCCATCTGGCCGGTGAGTCAGAGGAGGTGGCATTTGAGCCAAACTGAAGAGGGCAGGATGGATTGAGCTCTAGAGAAGAGGTTGGGGCCAGGGCTGAAGGGAAGGGGGTCTGATTGTGTCTGATGGAGAAGAGAACGCATTGCAAAGGGGCTGGAAGGGCGGCTGGGACAGGTTGAGAAGGTCTTGAAATTTGGGATAAACAAGGAGCTTTGACTTTGCTTTATAGACAGCGAGGATAGATTGTTGCATTGCAGTGACAGTATGGTGCCCCCACTTTCCATCTGGTGCCGTCTGAGGGATTCAATGGTGGAAGAGAGAAGATGAGCCAGAGAATAGGCTGTGAATTGGGTTGGGTGATTATTGGGGCTGGGGGCTTCACAATGCTTCCAGACCCTTCGTCATGATCCTTTAGGTCCAG